AAGAGCTCAGAACTTTGGCTTCCATTTTTGATTGAACACAGTTTAGTGTTTCATCTGAACCATAAACGCTTGTTAATTTTAACTGTGTTTTGTTGAAACAAACCTGCTTCGTAAGCAACGGTTTGAAGTTGACCTGTTTATTTATTTATTTAAAAAAAAAGGTTTTCTAAAAAATAGTAAAGGTCTTTCTTAAAAAGGAAAGGAGGAAATCTGCTGTATTTCTGTTATAGCATTTCCTAATGTCCAAATGTTCTATAAAGTGAGACTGATATCCTGTGGACAGTTAAAGGTAAAGGTAAAGGTACCCCTGCCCGTACGGGCCAGTCTTGCCAGACTCTGGGGTTGTGCGCCCATCTCACTCAAGAGGCCGGGGGCCAGCGCTGTCCGGAGACACTTCCGGGTCACGTGGCCAGCGTGACATCGCTGCTCTGGCGAGCCAGAGCCACACACGGAAACGCCGTTTACCTTCCCGCTAGAAAGGTATCTACTTGCACCCGGGGGTGCTTTCGAACTGCTAGGTTGGCAGGCGCTGGGACCGAGCAACGGGAGTGCACCCCGCCGCGGGGATTCGAACCTCCGACCTCTCGATCGGCAAGTCCTAGGCGCTGAGGCTTTGACCCACAGCGCCACCCGCGTCCCCCTTGTGGACAGTTACATTGGAGTAATTATAGTTGAATTCAGTGTGACCTATTTCTCCTAGTAAGTAAAGATGCATAGGATAAGGATCCCAACCCAGTTCCTGCTGGTTGGTTGTCCTGCTGCTGGGTTAACACCAGGCTATTATGTCTTTCTCCCTCCTGATGTAACACATGCACAGTCTACAAAGAATCTCCACTTCTGTCATGCCTCCTATACATAATTTGGTATATCTGAGACCATTGGAATCAGTGGGTTTAGGCATGCCAAATTCTGATTGGGATAAGACTGTAAAAGTGCCTGCCACTGTCACAGAAAGTGTCATTTGGACCCAGGGGATTCAGGCTCACCAGGCTGAAAAAACTACTCTTTGTTGAAGGTTTCCACTGAGTAATGTACTGTTTCCCCAGGAACTTGCTTTCTCACCTTCTTTTTCAGTGGCTTTAAACAGCCAAAATAGCATATGATAAACGTTGGTAAGAGTGGGTCACATTTTACAATGCAATATTTCCTCCACACAGATGTAAAAATCTAATAACCTGGTAGTTCGATAGTGACCACTACCGTACGTATGACTCAGTGCTGTATTCACCTTGCAAATATCCACAGTGAATGTTGGCAGTGACCATTTTGACAATTGACCCTGGTTACTTACCTGTACCTAGGACTGTCAGTAAACAGATTTTAAAATTGGGTGTGTGTGTAGAAACACATTATGATAGCAGGGTGAAATAAAAATGAATATATCAACATCATGATCCTAAGGTTATTTACAGTACTCAGAAATGAATTCCACTGAGTTTAGTGAGACTTACTTCCTTGGTTGAAAGCTCAGATTTGAAAACATTTCCTATTAGGTTTAGAATGAAATCATTTGTATGTCCCTGAAAATAGACATCACATACTTCAGTGATGATATTCAAGATAACCATGTTTATGTCATCAGGGTGGAATTGAATATTCGGAGGCCATTCTTGATACTATGTTTATAAGAGCTGCACTATGGAAACGTTTGTTAATATCAAGGCCACATTCTGCTATGCCGGGCCTGCAAGTTTTGTAACCTGAGAAATAGGTCTCCTTCAGGAGATGCCCTACACATCAGACCAGTGCTGTGCCACAGTGCTTCTGTAACTTTCCAGTCCAAGGCAGAAGTGATGCAGCCCATTCTGTTAATTTATAGAATGAAAAATTTTTGACCATAGCCCCTGTGGAAAACCTGTTTGTGTAATGCAATCCGTGGAGTTGCAAGATGCCCATAGTTAATACACCCAATAGCTTGGCTACTGTGGTCTTGGCACTGGTGACCCCAAGACTGGAGTGCTGCATTGTGCTCTGTGTGGGGCTTCCCTTGGGTTTAACCTGGAAGCTGCAGCTACAAGTTCACCTACAAGATTGCCTTACCCCATATGTGCCCACTTAACCACTTTGATTGGGGGAATTGGCACTACCACAGGTGCCGCATAATAACCATTCTGCATTTGTAAGAACTCAGTCATTTAGTTTGACAGCATCTACACTTTGGAACTCCCTGCCTATTGATCTCAAGCATGTGTGACTTCACTGTATTCTTGTTTAGGCAAGCCTACACAGATGCTTAGAAATGCTGGTGTGAATTTTAATCTGTTTTCATATTTTAACTTTTTGTATGTTTTAATATATTGTACATTTTTCTTGCTTTTATTGTTTTGTAATCTGCCTTGAGGGTATTTTGTTGTTGTTTTTAACAATCAAGCAGCATACAAATTTTGTGAAATAAATAAATAAAATAGATAAAAATAACACCCCTGTTGAGGGAACTGCTCTGACTGCTGGTATGCCACCGGGTGTAGTTCAGTATTTTGTTTGTAGCATTTAAAGCCCTAAACAACTTGGGACCAGGTTACCTAAGTAACCACCTCACTCTATATATCCCTGTCTGGCAAGTGTGTTCTTTAGATGGGGCACTGCTAAGAGTACTGCATGCCCAGGAGCTGTGCTTGTTCTAGAAAGAGGTATTTTAGTGTTGCAGCTCCAGCCCCCTGGAATGAGTTATCAGCCAATATTTGATTGGCACTCAGTGTCATGAAGTTTAGGCACCTATTAAATGCATTTTTGTTTAAGAAGGCTTTCCCTGAGGTGTGACCCAATCATTTCTTAAATATAAATTGTACACTTGTATTAATGGTTTTGCTGTTTTTAGAGTTTGTAGCCCTGTTTAGGGAAGTTTTTAATGTTTGATTCTATTTTTAATACTCTGTTGGGAGCTGCCCAGAGTGGCTGGGGAAACCCAGTCAGATGGGCAGGGTATAAAGAATTCTATTATTATTATTATTATTATTATTATTATTATTGGTAATTGATTTTAGAATTTGTATTGTTGTGTTTTGTTTTTATCCGTTGAACCCCATTTTGATGGCCTTCCACTATCCCACATTGTCAGTCTACGTTATGAAATTTGTCTTTCATCTTAAGTGGAGTGCCCTGAGATACGTAATTAAGAGGACACCACATGGTGAATGACTTTCTGTGTCACACCTTGCAGATAAAGCATTATCATCATGCGCAACACAGACCTTTCTAATCCTCTCTGACAATGTTTTATGCACTATCTGGCCTGATATAAGTAGTAGCTCTTGTGATTGTTAGGATTTGACATGCCTTTGGCAACTTTGAGTGGATTTCATCATCTGAATTATCTCGGTGGCAGGGAATAGACTAGTATGTGAAGGTCAGGAAAAAGTAGTCAGGTATATATTTTTCTACTGCTAATGATGTTACATGCTCAGTATAAGAAATGGCATTACATTTAGCATTATGTGAGACCTGCAGCCTAGCTCTGTGAACTTCAATAACCTTGCCTAAAAGGTATCGGAGAATGAAAATAGCTCTTGCCTGAGTTGATTTGCTATATTCAGTTCTGAATCTGTCCCAAGTAATGCTACTAGGCTACACTGCAATTCTAACTGCTGTTGAGCTAAATACATGCTAAGCTTACACGGAAACAGCACAGTCTCACCTGTGCAAACACAACTTTGGGTGGCATTTAACGCTGATTCCCCTCCAATTTTAGGGCAGATGTCTTACTGATGCAGATTGGAAGGCCTTTGCACGCGGCAAAGTCAATATAGATAAGGTGTACAAAAGCAATTTGAAGCTGTAACAAAAGTATGTTCTGTGGGCTACAATTCAAGAAGCACTTCTATGTGCCTCGGGAAAAACCCAGTGTTCATTTTCTACCAGAGAGTTGCAACTTGGTGAGCAGGGGGTGAAAACTCAACCATAATTTGCACCCCCTAAAGCAGAGATGTATATTCTGTGGCTCTCCAGATATTGTTGGGACTCCAGCTTCCTTCATCTCTGACCATTCACCATATTGCCTAGGAGGGCTGCAGGTTGGTCACCCTTGCCCTAAAGTGTTAAGCATTGGTCTCAGACTCTGCTGTTCTGACAGTCTGTTTTCAACTGTTCTTAGGAAAATGTGCACATTACTAAAAAAACAAAAACAAAAAAACCATACTCACTGGCTCGGATCCTAACAACTCTTACATGAATATAACAGAGTTTTTGTTCACAGAACAGGGCTTTCACACCTCTCACCTTCCCTCTGCATTCCCTGAAAATTTGCTCCTGGGGACTGGGGAAACCCTTGAAAATAATGTGTGATACTGTGGTGCAGTGTGAGTTGGCAGCAGTTGACCTCCGCTTTTCATGAATGGAGGAACAACTTAGGATCCAAGGTATTGCGCTTGCTTGTGTATCTAGGAATATATTGTCAACAATGCAACATTCAAATTTAAACAAAAAAATCCTTTAAATTCCACTCATTTTTATCTGAATCACCCTATGCTAAGAATTTAGCTCTGTAGTTCAGCATCTGTAGAGCCTTGTTCTTTGATGGTTTAACCTAAGGCATGGGTAGGCAACCTAAGGCCTGGAAGCCAGAGCTGGCCCAATTGCTTTCTCAATCCAGCCCACAGACAGTCCGGGAAGTGGCATGTTTTTACATGAGTAGAATGTGTGTTTTTATTTAAAATGCATCTCTGGGATATTTGTGGAGCATAAGAATTCATTCTTTTTTTCTTTTCCCCCCAAAAATATAATCCGGCCCCCCACAAGGTCTGAGGGACAGTGGACCTGGCCCCCTGCTGAAAAAGTTTGCTGACCCCTGACCTAAGGCCTCAGCAGATAGACCAAACAGGCATTTGGTGTAAGAGATTGTAGATCAAAGCATTGAATTCTGATTTACACATAAAGGTACTTTTTAAATTTAAAAAGTCCATTCTAGTAGTAATGTAGTAGGTTACTGTTTGGTTATTGTAGAAAATGGGCCATATATATTACATGCATGCCAGAAATATTGAAACTCTCTCTCTCTCTTGCAGTGGGATCTTGTGTGTGAAAACGACTGGAAAGCACCTCTAACTACCTCTTTGTTCTTTGTGGGCGTACTGATTGGCTCCTTCGTATCTGGACAACTCTCAGACAGGTAAAGTGTATATATCAATGGTTTTGTGTGTTTTTAAAGATACAATCCTTTAAAATTCAGTTACAGCTAAGTTTCTGCATTGCAGTGGATTTATTTTTCAACTGTAGTGAATTAGCTGATTTTTAAATAGGTAACACCAAAATGCTTGGTTCTTCTTGCCATAATTGCACAATCTGTGATGGACTTTGAGAGCACAACATGCTTCCCATAACTATTTTTCTTTTAGTTAAGCATGAGGTATTTCAACAAATTTTGAATTTATAGTAGTATATCAAACAATAATTTGTGTGATGCCATCTTTCCACCCTTGAGCAATCTTAAATAATCAACAAAGCCATCAATTTAAGCTGCCAGCACAACAGAAACTAATATATTTGATATCTTCCTTTATCGTTCAGATATGCTTATCACAACTATGAATGATGCCATTTTGACATTATGAAATAAGTAAATCAAAATTTCATTGTGATGTGTTTTATGGCCAACCTTTGGCTTAACTTACCTGCTTAGATATCTCTGTGTATGTATGTAATGCAGTAGCTCTGATGAAAATGAAACTGGATGTTATGTACTGAACATATTTAGGATACAATTGTACTTTTCATGCCTGAACCTCAGCTTAAATTCTACACCTTTTTTTTCAAGGGGTCAAGCAGGACATAAAACACAGTGTAAAGTGATATTCCCCTTGAACATTGAAATGTAATAATGCAACTTAGTATGTGCATAGACAACACAATTTTCTGTTTGGAGTACATACGGCGCAACTGTCACTCCCATTTTTCATCCCAATCCAGTTCACTCTCACAACCTGTTAAAAATCACTTGATAACAAGATACATCATAAAAGAACTACTCAAGAACAGCAACAATGTAAAAACATCATATCCTTATTCTGTTTGAGTTGTCCATCGTGTTCAAAAAGCAGGGCAAATTCGGCTAAAAATAAAATGTTTCCCTTTGGAGATAAATGTTTACTGAAAATGTAAGAATTTATCCATAACCTTTAAAGCAGTAATTCGAAACAGTAATTTGTTTAAATAATCACAGAAAACACATCAAAATAGCCATGCTTTGTTTAAAAATAAAAGCAAGAAATCATAATTCATATCACACCTGAAATGCAAAGTAAACATTGAATACATTGGGCATCTGACAATTATTGGATTTTTACTCTAGTGCCAACCTACCTTACAAGTGGCTTTTTTATCGTGGCACAAGCCACAGTGTTTCTCAAACTTGGGTCCCCAGTACAGCAGTTTAAAGTAACGGGAACAAAAGTTCCAAAGGCCAACCTAGTCTAGCAATCTCTTCTAACAGTGGTCAACCTGGTGTCTATGTGTAGCCCACTGAGTGGACCTGAGTACAACATCATTCTCCCCACTCCCAGTAACTAGTATTGAAGGGCATACTATCTCCAGTAGGGGAAAGGGTCCCCATCAACCTACGGTTCCCATCAGCCCCAGCTAATGTGGCCAGTAGTCAAAGATTATGGGACTTGCAGTCCAGCAACATCTGGAAGGCACCAGATTGGGTACTCCTGATGTAGAGAGAAAACAAGGCTAAGGGAGATGAGATCAAGAGGACCCCCATTAAAGTTTATAGATATTAATCCCCACAAATATACACCCCAGACCCTAGATTTCTACTATTTTAATGTTTCATAAACTAACATGATTTTTATTTATCTTTGTCCCATGATAGGTTTGGAAGGAAAAATGTGCTGTTTGTCACAATGGGAGTCCAGACTGGCTTTAGCTTCCTCCAGATCTTCTCAACAACCTGGGAGATGTTTTCCATCCTGTTTCTCATAGTTGGAATAGGGCAGATCTCTAATTATGTGGCAGCGTTTGTACTTGGTATGTAACAGTCTTTAAGCAGAGTATGAATTCTCAGTATTGTTGCCAAATTTCTCAATGAGTGATGTTATATTTAGGGGCTCTTCCTCCTCCCACAATACATTCCTTCCTCTCCCAGTGCATGCTAAGCCATTATAAAGATTGGGCAAGCTGTACACCAGGGGTCGGCAAACTACGGTTCCTGGGACTGCTTGTCCCCCTTGCCTCTTCTTCCAGCTACCCCCCCCCCAGTGCTGCTACTCCGGCCCACCACAAGGTCTGAGGGACAGTGGACCAGCCTGCTGCTAAAAAAAATTGCTGACCCCTGCTGTACATGTTTCCCTTAGCCCCATCCAGCTCGTTCTCTTCACTCCGTGTAAGACACTCAAGCTCTGAGTTACCAAACTGAAATGGCAACGAGTCTGCGGTGGAAGATGTTAGGGTGTGCAGACCTTCCAGTCTTCGTAATAGCCCAACATACACATTGAACAGATAGAGAAGACAGGGTTTTATTAAACCTATAGCAGTCTTCCCATAAGCTAATTGTGTGTTTTGTCCTGTGGCTTCAGTCTTTCATGCTGTAGAATTGAATGGGATTTAAGCAGTGTAAGGGTCAAATTAAGTATTACGTTATAAAGGTATGACTGCATCCCCAGTGCTTTTTTATTTTTTACTGGAAAGATATCAAAGAGGCATCAACACATCTATTTCTTTCTAACCGAATGAATATACTAGCTTGAAGTACTGGCAAAGGTTAGAGTGTGAATTCTTTGCTAACCATTCATTTGGTCTTGCATCCAGTGGCCATTAGAGAGTTAATAAATATCTTATGTGAAAGCTAGACTGTCTCTTTGAACTGTATTTCAATATATTACATCCTCTTAACCCAGAATATTATGTACTATCATATACAGCAAAATGCTTGATCATGAGGAACTCACTCATCACTATCAATCTAAATACTCTTCTTTATGCGGGATCAGGGACAGAAGTAGAGGCATATCTTAAATCCAAGGAAGATGCACTGGGTGTTTTAAAATGTTTCCCAAACACATTTGGGCAAAACAAGAGGGCTTTTTAAAAGTTAAAAGGCTAATCAACACTCCCTTGTTTTGAACAGGCACAGAAATACTTGGCAAATCAGTCCGTATTATCTACTGCACATTAGGCGTTTGTATATTTTATGCGTTTGGCTACATGCTGCTGCCACTGTGCGCTTACTTCATCAGAGACTGGCGGATGCTGCTAGTGGCTCTCACTATACCTGGCCTGCTCTACGTTCCACTGTGGTGGTGAGTGTATTTTAAATAAAAGTGTTCACATTTTGGAAGCTACACCAAAAACTAGTGCTAGCTAATGCCTTTACTGGGGGCACCCTCAGTTGATTTGATTTTTATCAAATTACATACATACATCATTTTATTCGTATACTGTATGTCCTTTCCATAGTTCAAACTGTGCTGAGGCAGCTTAGAACATGATAAAATGCATAGTTCCAACATAACAGAAGTAGTGGAAAATAATGAATAAAACATAAAAAATATACAACCAAACTGAACAATTTCCACAGAAATCATAAGATCTGAAATAAAGATACAAAAAAATTAATATCAATAGCAGCAACAATCTCCACAGCAAAACTCCCAGCCCAAGTGTCTGTTCAACAGCCTAAGATTTTGTAGCTGGAGTCAGTCTGGGCCCCATGCTCCCAGGTAGCGTGGAAAAGGCCTGCAAGACAGGAAGCAGATCTTTTAGGACTCACAGCCCCTCTCTCTCTCTATGTATATATATATAATTTTTGTGTTTTCTCATATATATATATATATATATACACACATTTTTTGCTACCAGACAACCTAGGTAACACATAATAAGTTACAGTGGGGGTGGGGAGGGAAAAAGGAGAAACAAGATGCAATGTGAAACCAAAGAGTTAAAACCAAAGGTGCATAGTGCCATACAGTTCAGTCTTTAACTTATTTTAATTCACCACATTTCAGATCCTAAGAATTTTAATTTCTATTGTTTCTCCAAGAACCCTAAAAGTTGTTTTTGGGTGAGACTTGCTGAAATGTGTTATTGCCACTCGTAGAAACGACTTCACTAACACACACACACTTTTACCGTAAATTTCGCTCTATAACACGCAGATTTTTTCTCCTAAAAAGTATGGGGAAATGTCTGTGCGTGTTATTGAGCGAATGTGTGGCGCCTGGAGCTGACTCGCCGGGGCAAAAATAGGCAAAAATCAGGCAAAAATAAGATCGGGCGGGCGGGCGGAGGGAAGGCGGAAGCTGCTGCTTTCCTGCATTCTGCCTCAGGGTCTTACTGCCCACCCGCTTCTGTTGCTGCGTTTGCTCAAACTCAACAAAGAGCAGGGAATCCCCTGCCCTCCTGGCAAGCAGAGGGTTAAGGAAAGGATTGAGTCCTTCCTTCTAATTCTTTCCTAGTCACACTGCGTGCAGGCTCCAGCCCACCACCTCCTCCTCTCCGTGCTCTAGGGACTCGCAGGCAGCCGAAAAACATGCAGGTGGGAGAGAGAGAGAGAGGGCTGGCTTGGGGGGGGACTTTTGCCTTCCTTTCCTCCCCCCCACCCCGTTAAACTCCTCCCCTGCATTCTTAGCCAGCTGCTTCTCTGCACACCCCTCTTGTGCTTCTTGTCCCTTCTGTGTTTTTCCTTCCCTCCCCATTTAAAACGTGGTGACAAAGCACGGATCCACATGGATCCTCAGGATTTTTGCATTGGGTCACCCCAAATTCACCATCAGATCACATTACATGTCCATGGCTACAGTCTGTACCAAAAAAATCACGCACCCACTGTTGCCTGGGGCTGCAATGGTGCAAAAACGTGGTTACAAAGCATGGATCCACAGGATCTTTGCACTGGGTCACCCCAAATTCACCATCAGATAACATAGCATGTCCATGGCTACAGCCTGCACCAAAAAAATCACGCACCCACTGTGGCCTGGGGCCACAATGGTGCAAAAATGTGGTTACAAAGCACGGATCCACATGGATCCTCAGGATTTTTGCATTGGGTCACCCCAAATTCACCATCAGATCACATAGCATGTCCATGGCTACATCTTGCACCAAAAAAATCACACACCCACTGTTGCCTAGGGTCACAGTGGTGCAAAAACATGGTTACAAAGCATGGATCCACATGTATCCTCAGGATTTTTGCATTGGGCTACTCCAAACTCACTGTCAGATCCCATGTCTGTGGCCACAGCATGAACCACAAAAATCATACATCCACTGTTTCATTTAGAATATTTTTTTTCTTGTTTTCCTCCTCTAAAAACTACGTGCGTGTTATGGTCTGGTGCGTGTTATAGAGCGAAAAATATGGTATGTTGCTAGGTTATTTAATGTATAGTCACATGTTAGAATTAGCAGGGTTGTTGCTTCCTGTAACCTCTGCCAAAAGCCCATTCATATGCATAGAATAAATTGCTCCTTTTCATACAGGTTAATGGCCCTAATCTTGCTCTATTTATACACTGGCTCTTCAACATTGTATTTCTATGCAAGGAGGACAGAGGATAGCATTGAAGTTAAAGTCTTTTTGACCATGGTGGTTTGGGATGTAGGCTTAACAACCCTGGCTGTTCTGTTGAAGTTACGTTGAAACATCACAGGTTCATTCCAGAATCGCCTCGATGGCTGCTGTCCCAAGGCAAGATTAAAGAAGCAGAAGACATCATTCGGAAAGCTGCAGAAATGAACCATGTTGCTGCTCCAGATGTAATATTTGACCTCATTGAGGTAAACCTGCCCATGTATTGCATCTGTTTACATTTTCTTCCCAGTGTCTGGATATGGCAGTGCCCATTAAAATGTTCTGCTTGATGAGATGAAATCTAGCTCTCCAGTAATGAACCTATCTATATACAATCATTTTCAACCCGTTTAATGTTATATGAAGAGCATTTTATACTGTGGGTTGAATCCAACTAAGTTCGACTTAAGAGTGGACCCATTTAAATTAATGGACCTCCATTAATAATGTCTTAGTAACTGCCTACTCTGAGTAGGATTAATATTGGATGCAATCCTATAACTTGTGATTTGGCAGCATCCTGGATTTGTTTCTCAACTCCTTTAAAATGCAGCACTCTACTTATTCTTTATGTTAGGCTGGCATATATGTTAAGCTAGGACCTTTTTAGATTATCTGTTTATAGTACAACAGGTGTTATTTGTATTTATCTTCCCTGTTTCAGGGATATTGCATTTTTTCAACAACATACAACTCACAGTAATTGTTACACATCACAGTGGACTTTTCTCCCCTGTAACCCACCCTTCCTCAGGATGCCAGGAGATTCTTGCTTCAGAACAGATCTTGTAGGCCCTTGGTTCTCAGAACTCAGGAGCCAGCTTCATCCTTTCTATCGGCTTCTCCTCTCTTCCTGTGCCTAGGTTCCCCCCCCCCATCCTTCTCCTAGCCTACCCCTTGTACATAATTAACACAAAAATTACTAGCGCTCCTTCCCTCAATACCACTCTCCTGTGTCCACCCCACCAACATTCCTTTTAACTGTTAGGAAATGAGGTTGCCACCCTCCCGCTTAGCCAGTCACCATTCTTAGCATCTACAGCATTGAGGTAGAAGGAACTACCCTCTTCCTTGCCTATTAGGCATGAACTGTGGCTCTATAATAAGTACCAAGCACCATTGGACATTTTCTGCAGCCATCTCTTCTTCTGTTCTCTTCCTCAATTTCTGTCGCCCTCAGACTCGCACTTCCCTCTCAGGATTTCTGGTTCATTTCTACATGCTGAGAGAGGAGATGTGTTCTTCAGCCAGACCTTGTTTATTGCTGCAGAAACTTCCTGCAAGGACTCACCAGTGCCTCCTCACAATCCTGTTCTGCAAAAATGTAAATTCTTCCCAGTGAAGAGTCCATTATGTTTTGATGTCCTGAGTGAAATGAAGCTGTTCTTAGTTACTGCCCATAACATCAGCAATAACAGTGCAGTTCTACCATGTCCATGTTACTCTGAGACTCAAATACCACTAATCATTTCTTCGGACTCACTGCTGGGGTGAATCTGATAGGGAGTTCTTCATATTTTACCGTGAGACAGTTTTGGATCTTTTGAGTGCCCTCTTCGCTGCTCTCGTTCTGGAGCATACAACCTCCAGCCTTTTATTTGCAGGGAGTGGCTCAGAGGAGCTACCCACCTACATAATTACACAAGGCAACAAAGCTTTCACATCCATTCCATGTGCACATGATATCGTGCTATTAGCTTTTATTGAAATTGCTGGATTGTTTTACACAGTAATTTGCAGTTAGGGTCATGGTTTGAACTGCTCGTTAGAGGAATCCCCCAGACAAATAATTGGCAGTTCATCTTCCAACCCAAACATGGCAAGTGATGTTTAATAAGGCAGCTGACATGTGCCTGAAAACTCACACTGACCCTCCTGCTGGCTCCTGCCTGTGAATACTCTGGATTTTTGGCATAGTACATGAGATATCATCTAATTGATTTATTTTTGGATCAAAAAGAAATGTCAGCAAAAATCTAAAGCTTCAGGATAACAGTACAAGAGAACAAGGCAACAGTGTTCTTTAAAAAAAAATACACACCCATGACTTTACATTAAAATGGAATTAAGTTGAAATTGTAATTGCTATATTTAGTTTTACTAAATATATATTTACAACTGAAGGCAGCCCTGTTCAGGGAAGTTTTTAGTATGTGATGTTGTGTTGTGTTTTTACTATTTTTTGTTGGGAGCCCAGAGTGGCTCGAGCAACCCAGTCAGATGGGCAGCATATAAATAAAAAATATATTATTATTATTATTATTATTATTATTATTATTATTATTATTACTTTACATAGTCCCTTTGCAGTCACGTGATTGGGTTAATATTAAGTGCAGTTGAGTATTTTAATTGAAACTATATCATCATTTGCTAAGTTCATTTTTTTCTCCCCATTTCCCTCCAAAATTTGGATTTCTATGATGCAGTATAATAACAGCATATTGACATTAGTTGTATTCGGAAACAATTACCAGTGGCCACTTCTGCACTGAATCATCACCTATATATATATATTTTTAAACAACAGCACTTAATAGCAAAGGTTCCTTATTTACCTTGAACATGCAACTGAAATTTCCTGCTGAATGAAATGCCACTTAATTTTAGAGAAAGAAAACAGGTTTTCATGTGTGCATCTGTAATTTTTGTCTATAGCTACAAGATGTTAATTCCCAGGACCAGCGGTCATACAGCATTCTGGACCTAGTGAGGACCCAGAATATCCGATCGATCACTATCATGTGTGTGATTTTATGGTAAGCAGTTGATGAACAGACACAAAGCTTTCCTCTCCTTATGAGACAGCTAATTCAGAGCAGCTTCCCCCAAGCTGGTGCCCTCCAAATGTCTTGGGGACTGCAACTCCAATCATCCCTGACCACTGGCCATGCTTCCTGGAGCTGATGGGAGTTGTGGTCCAAAACATTTTGAGGAAACCAGGTTGATTCACAGTAGCTGAGACTGCGGCCGTAATCACACACCTATAAACACCCAGGAGCCACATTGCATAACATTATTTACTTATAAATGCGTCTGTGTGGCATTTCACATAGCAGCATATTGAAATGTTTCTGCTCCAGTCTAAATCCCAAACTCTTATCTATTATTCCAGCTAGCATTTCCTTTGAGAATTTCTATCAAAGATTCACTCACCTAGGTTTTTTGTGTGTTTACTGCAGCAGATAAATCCTGCTGTTTTGGAGTTGGACGCTATGCTGTCATAACTAGCTTCACATAATTTGTCTGCTGTTGTTTTACTTCCAATGGCAAGTTTAAATTCACATCCACATTAAAAATATATATATTCATATATAAAACTAAGATGTCAGGGGGACATTTATGGGCTCCACCTCCTTGATTTGCATTTTGAATATATAGGGAGATTTGTACATGAGGGAGCATTCAGAGACTGTGTTCCCCACCTGCAATCAAAAGTGGTGCAGTTTGGTAACATGTGAAGCCGCAGATCCTGTGTGTGAGGTCTAAGAATCCCTTTCATAGGCGCCGACTCCATGGGGCTTGAGGGGGGCCGAGCCCCCTCAAAAATTCGTTTGGGGGGGCTCCGCCCCCCCAATAATCTCCGGCGCCCCTCCAGCAGAGCGCCATCGCCGCCCCTCCCCCAGCCCAAAATGCACAGGGTCGGGCTGCATGCCTCCTGCCCTCCCTCCCGAGCAAAAGCTCCACCTTCGGAGCTGATTAATAGGAGCAGCAAGCTCTCCCCTATTTGCTCACGAGGAGGCGGCGCCACTTTATTTGCATATTCATGAGCTTATTTATTATTCATGAGCTTTCCCGGGCCCCCCCAATATTTTTTATAAGTCTGCGTCCCTGATCCCTTTAGTTCAGATACCTTAAGAGAAGTCAGTGGTGGAACTGGTATGTGTACCCATGCTCTTCACAACACAACGAAAGTACCATTTGAAACAAGCAAACTGCCAGGAGGTCTAATTAATGCAATTCTTACACCTCAGAAAAAAAGAGAAGTGCTGCCTGATCAGATTACTACAGATCCAGACCTCTGTTGGGTGTCCCCTTCTCATGCCACTTTGAGTGGTGGAGAGGAGAGGAAGGACATGTTCCCTCCACACTGAATGAGCCATTACCCTAGTAAGGTGTCTGAACCCCTGGGATTAATACAGTTGGGACTGGACAATAATGTGAATGCCAACAAACAGAGACAGATTGCATTTCTTTCTACTTGGGAACACTTGGTATCATGTGTAATGTACGGTATGTGCGTTTCTTTTTAAAATCTGTTGATTTTATCATTATTTTGATGATTTCATTATGTTTTTAAAGCCAGTTTTATTGCCATTTTTAATGAACATTTGATACCATTTTATGCAAACCGCTCAGAGATTTATTTGTTTTTTAATTAGGCAGTGTATAAATCTTGCTAAATAAAACAAAACATAATTTTCAAAGCCTAATCCAATGCAGCACTTATTCTGAGGCCTCTGAATATTTATTACAATATAGCTTTGTCTTTCAGGATGGTCATTTCCATTGGCTACTTTGGCCTCTCTCTGGACACCCCTAACCTGCACGGAGACATCTATCTCAATTGCTTCCTTTCGGCAATCATCGAAGTCCCAGCTTACACCATCTCTTGGCTGCTCCTCCATTATCTTCCCCGGCGGTATTCAATGGCAGGAGTCTTGTTCTTAGGAGGATGTGTCCTTCTCTTCATTCAGTTGGTACCTGCATGTAAGAACATTTTACTTGATGTGAACTTTCCCCCTACTTTTGTAGATGTAATCCACAAGGCCAAGCAGGCTGAACTGTGGGCATAACAGGTAGAATAGTGAGCAGGTGACTGTACTTGTCCATTAGAGCACAGTTTAAAATAGAAGCCTATTCTGCCTCTGTTCATTACATCTGAAGACCAATATAAGACAGAAAGGGAGCTCACAGTGCTGAGAATATGCCGTCAGATTTGCTTCCTTATGTTTATTTTGATTTTGGGGTTTTATGTTTGATTCTGTATTTAAATTGTTTTTACACTTATTTCTTGTCAGTCTCCCCGGGACTATTATAACACGGCGTGGCATACAAAGTTTGTATGTAAATAAATGAGCTCTCTCATTTGTTCCTATTATACCACAACTGAACACTAATCTGACAATCCTTTTATTTGGGGTGGGGTTGTTCTATCAGCCACTTCGCATTGTGATATCAGCTTTTGAAAAGAACAATATATTGGATATTTTTTTTGAAGTGCCATGAGATTCATAGTCTAGGTTTTGATTTTGGCTTTTTGCTACAACAGACTAACATGACTAGTCTTTGTGAATCTATTTATTTATTACATATATGGACCACTTTTTCCTCCAAGGAGCTCAAGGTGGTGTACATGGTTCTCCAACCCAACCCAACCAAGTTTTGTCTTCACAACAACTCTGTGTGGTAGGTTAGGCTGAGACACAGTGCCTGGCACAAGGTCACCCAGTGAGCTTCTCGGCTAAGTCGGGATTCGAACCCTGGTTTCTCAAGTCGTAGTCTGACACTCTGTCCATTACAACAGGCAGGTTTAAAAGAGGTAGGCTAAAGCGAATGGCAGAAGGCAGATAAACTTCAGTGACACATAGCTTGATTCTCATTTGTAGACCTCACTGTGTTCTCCATTACGCTGGTGATGATTGGAAAGTTTGGGATCACAGCCTCGTTCTCAATGGTTTATGTCTACACTGCTGAGCTCTACCCAACGGTTGTGAGGAACATGGGAGTTGGTGCCAGTTCAATGGCCTCCAGATTTGGCAGCATCCTCTCGCCTTACTTTGTATATCTTGGTAAGTTCCCAGCTATCTTATTTTCTGCCAGGCAAAATACCACTACTCTCCCTTTTAGTGCTACAAGCCACTCAGTTCAGTATTATTGCAGGATACAATGAATAGTACGGGCAAAGTTGATGTACCATTAACAGATCTTTGTGTTGAGAGGCTCCAGATAAGCTTCCAAGCAACCTTAAAAGTCCTCAGAACCCAGTTTGCAAAGAACTGGTCTGTGCAAAACATCGTGACAATAACTACTTATTACTTCCCTTGCCCCCCTGTGCTTCCCATCGTGACAATAACTACTTATTACTTCCCTTGCCCCCCTGTGCTTCCTACCAGGTGCTTATGATAGATTTCTTCCCTACATTCTAATGGGAAGCTTGACAGTGCTAGCAGGAATTGTCACCCTGTTTCTTCCGGAAAGTTACGGCATGCCTCTCCCAGATACCATTGAACAGATGCTAAGAGTTAAAGGGTAAGGAGAAACCATTTCATCCATTATTTAAACAAACAGGGATTGCAGCCAGTATCATTGTGGGTCATGCTGTAAAAATGTTGGGAATCAAATTATAGAAGAGATTAGGACAGTATGGAAGAGATTATAGAAGGGATTAGAGCAGTATACAGTGGTACCTCGGGTTAAGTACTTAATTTGTTCCGGAGGTCCGTTCTTAACTTGAAACTGTTCTTAACCTGAAGCACCACTTTAGCCTCCTGCTGCTGCCGCACCGCCAGAGCACGATTTCTGTTCTCATCCTGAAGCAAAGTTCTTAACCTGAAGCACTATTTCTGGGTTAGTGGAGTCTGTAATCTGAAGCGTATGTAACCTGAAGGTACCACTGTATACAGAGCGGTCAGTAGTGTTGCTTGGAGATCTGAAGAAGAGGTTTCAACAAGATATAATGAAAACAAGAAAAACAGATGGCTTAATTCCTGAGAAACACTGGGGTGGTATGCCAGCTAGATAAATATTAATTACTTGTCTCTATTGTAGCTTCTTAGATACAAACCAAACACTCTAATTTTAAAAATACGCTCAAGCCAACCAATTTATTATGAAGGAGAAGCAGGCGATTGGATCCCTCTCTGGGTCAGAGCCCCTCTCCAGTTTCCCAATGGAAATTCACCCCCACCCCTGATGCTATTTGCCTCCAGAGATGCAATTGGCAGTAGCAATTTAGGGGGTAAATATCGCCATGGCAGGGCGCAGGGCAATTTTCAGAAAGAAGCTGTTGTCAGAATCTAATCTGGATTGGTGCTCCATATGAAGTGGCCAGCTGAAGCGTACTTTTTACAAATTAAAGGTCTGATTAATATACTATGTTCTTTGGGCCGTGGGGCTAACCAAAGCCAAAGTTTGGTTTTACATGTAGATGACAGATCTGCCTATTGAATGAGACATTTCCTTGAATGTAAATGTGAAATGTATGACAGCATCATGCAAGTTTTTGCTTTAACTGTTTCCTGTTTTTCTTTCTATTTATTTACAGAATTAATTACAGAAACACATCTAAAAGCAAAAAGACATTAAAGGATGATGAAGAAAATTCAGTGATTATAAAAGGCACGACTTTCTGATCAATCTGCATACCCTGTTATGAACTAAATAGTACCTAGACATATCCTTCAATTTACTTCCAGAAAGGACTAATGGAAACACTTTTTCTATAATCAACTTATTTATTAAACGCACATTCATTTTTGTGAATGTAGATACTGTATATCCCACTGTGGGATCTCTGCCAGTAATTGTACGGGTTACAAGGAACAATATCCGAAAAGGTAGGGGCAGGGAAAGCCTGTTTCCCATTAGGACTGTTGGCAAATGTCCTTTTTGTAAGATTAAAACATGCTTGAAGTTCTAGATAGATGGACTGACTTTACTATTCGGTTCATTCAGTGCACAATGGCAAAAGGTGAAACATGTTACTGAATTTAAATATTGTTAAGTGTCGTCACCCAGCTTGGGATGCTGCTTCTGTTCAGAAAACCTGAAGCTTGAAATTATGTGGATGCTAAATACTAGACAGATGATTTTATGCACTGCTTATGCTGGTTTTTAAAAATCAACATCTGTTTTATAAATGGAGAGGTGGTTTTCATGTGCAAAACATTGGCAGTCTAGTTTTGCTTGCAAGCCTACTTATTTCAGATGTAGTTTTAAATATTAACCACTAGATGCAGTTGTTTACATCTGAGAGTGATGCCTTATTTAGGCTTATAATTATTTTTTAAGGATTACATTGCATTTGTAATGCATCTCTTTCAATGTTCCATTAGTCATTTTTTCTATAATTTGCCTCTAATTCTGAAAGGCACTGGAAACTAATACATATCTGTATTTCCAAATAATTTGGTCTTTTCCTATCTCTGCCTGAAATGTCTTCAGTTACATACTAGGTATGTAATAAAGTTACTTTATAATACAGAGCTTGCTCTAAATGTACCAGTCAGGTGCCTTCAGCTTGCTTAAAGACATAACTGTTGCCTTTTGGGAACAAAGTGCATTATTTTAAATGAGTATCATGAACGATAAAAACAAGTCTCATGTGTGAGCAATTGTGTCAAGTCTACCAAGAAACACTACCCATTACTGGGGAAGGAGTTACCTTGATTAGGTTTGTTACTTTACATTATGACACAATTTAAAAAGTATGATACAAATATGGTGCATTTTAAATAGTTTGATATAAAGTCACATGATATTGTATTATTGTTTTAATAATTTGTTAGCTGCCTCGGAGGTTTTTAATGACAGAAAGGTGATACATATATATCTTAATATAAATAAAATGTGATTTTTATAACCAGAGTTGCTAGACAGCACATACTTCTGTTAACACAGCTGTTTGCAGACATTCCAGAAATTGTGATATTATGTGAAAGTTATCCTATGAATGTAAAATTCTTCCCAGTTCTTACCAACTGCTGCTCACTCCAGTTTTGACTGATGCCTACTGTAGGGCTGTCCATGTGATGGTAACATATACAGGGCCAGTAAACCATTTTTGGTACCTTTTGGGTATAAGTATCCTAAATAAATGGTGAGGGAGACTGTAAATTTCCCAGCACTCAAGTTCCTGATTTTCTTAAAACTGGCATTCTTATCCCAGAGAGAGCAGCTACCTACCATACTTATTTTATTGTGGAGATAGGAATTGCACCAGTGTTAACGTTACCTACAGAATGGTACCCAGAAGGTCACTGCAAGTCCTTCACTTGTGGAGGATGGGGCAATGGCAAGTGATATAGGATGTTGTTTGTGGAGCTCCTCAGCCTGCAGAAACAATCTGGCCTTCACCTGGAACCTTTTGAGGCCCACCTTCAGCAAAAACCCAGGATTCCAGACTAGTCAAGCTGGCCAGCATCTTCTGGAGTACTTAACGTTTCAAACTTGTTAGAGTCTTAAAACAGAGGTATAGCCTGCCAGCTCTTTATAAGGACAAACAACAATACCCGCAACTCAGAAAGCCTCAAAAGAGGCACAAATGGAGACTCCTGAATATAGTGCTGATGACATGACTCTCAAAGAAAAAAATAATGGAACGGATGGCTGAGATATTGGACAAAACCTGGCAGAATTGAGGACCTACACTGAGGACCTACATATTTGGCAAGTGTATCATTCATGCCACAAAATGACTTCTTGCAGATTCCTGAGCTGTAGCAGGCAAGTTAAGATTTCCGGGGAAAGTGAACTTGGTGCAAGTAGACTTCATATAGCGGGCATTGGATTCCATTCCTAGACACAAACTGTGTTCTTTGCTGTACAGTGTGGCAGCCAAGCCACAGCTAAGCAATGATGCGAGAGGGAGGCTAGGAACTGTCCTCCATGACACGGGTAGAGGAAGGGAAGTGGGGATGCCCTACCAGCAAAGCTCTTCCATTGCCATCACATGAGCCCAAGGCAGTTCGATTCTGCCCATGGTATTTCTTCTAGTCCTTGTAAGATGTTATCTCCCCCCCACCCAATTGTTGCTGTTATCTGTCATTCCTTGGGCAGAGCTGATACTGCATTGTTCCAGAAATTTCTCCATCGCTCTGTCCCGTGCTTTGTTGTTTTGCACCAAGAACTTTTAACAACAGCTGCAAAAGTCACTCTGTCCCAGTAAATAAACTGTTTTCACCATTTTTCCTCTCAGCCTGGGAAGAAGAGTGGTCCGTCGAACTGCACATGACTCAATAAAGAACCTTATCAGTTCCTTGACAGCTCACAGATTCCTTTCATCCTTCCTTCCAGCTGAAGATATACAACCAGTTATCTTCAGTTCACTTCATAGATAATAAAGGATGGGGAAGAGTCAGCTCTAAGTTTCCATCATAAACCTTTTGCAAAATAGAGCTTCCCTCCATTTTTTCCTTTTTTTTTACTCTCACAGTTCCATTTGATGTTATATTCCAAATTTATAATCCCATTTCTTCCATCCTTACTTGTACAAATATCATTTGAACTAACATTCCAAGGACGGTTGCCGAATCATAAATGTAGTGAAGAAAACTTTAAATAAAGAAACCATAGGATCCCCTCTCCCCCTACACACATCTTTTGCACCAAATGAAGTCTTATCTCAAATTCAAACCTTAAAATCTTCTAGCACACACCTGTACTTCAGTCCAATTAAGCTCTAATTATCAGGAGAGGCTCTGCTTCTTAATGGCGGCGTTGGAGGGTTTTCAGCAGGCGAAGTGCTTTATCATTCAGCGCCTCCCTGCCCCCCCCCCCCCGCATTCCATGCCGGAGTGAGAGTCAGGTACCAAGACGAACTGCGATTGAAGCCCGTTCCCCCCCTCCTTCCCTGGGGGGAATTTGCATGGATAATTATCCTCAATCATCCTTGTTTTTCCTTCGCCTTTGATCTCCCGCTGTTGTGGGGGCTGCCTCCATTAAGACAGAGAGGAACCGGAAATGTATCCCTCACCAACTTCCAACCCTTTTTACCAGCAGATGTTGTTGCACAAGTCTCATCTTCATACCAGCTTAAAAAAAAAAACTTGTTGAATGTCTACTTCAGTTTCTAATGAATTTCTGCAACTATGAAAGGCACAGGACACCTTCAAAGGAAAAGATTGGCAAGCCAACACTGAGCTACAAGGAAGTATACTCATTTTGTCAACACCAGATCCCATAAAGCCTATTGTGTATTTAATATCAGCCAGGAAGGGGAAGAGCCCTTGTATCAAATCAGGCCATTGATCCATGTACCTTAACTTTACTATGATGGCAGTGGCTTTCCATGATTTCAGGCAGGAGCCTTTAGGCCTACTGAACCTTACATAGCCGGAAAGGAACTCTTTATAAGCCAGAGACCCAAATGGTGAAATCAAATTATTACATGCAGTCGGTGGCTTTTGTATCAGACTTCGATATCCATCTGATTTCTGGTCATTGCATTTTTCTGTCTATGTTTTGCATCTCAGTCTCTACACATTTCTTAAATACAGTGGTACCTCAGGTTACATATGCTTCAGGTTACATACGCTTCAGGTTACAGACTCCGCTAACCCAGAAATAGTGCTTCAGGTTAAGAACTTTACCTCAGGATGAGAACAGAAATTGTGCTCCGGCAGCACGGCGGCAGCAGGAGGCCCCATTAGCTAAAGTGGTGCTTCAGGATAAGAACAGTTTCAGGTTAAGTACGGACCTCCGGAACGAATTAAGTACTTAACCTGAGGTACCACTGTATATCTTTTCTTCTAACCCTTTATGGTGCAGTTCTGTGAACACTGTATTTTCTTCCTAATCCTTTTTTATTCATTTGCTTTTCCCCTGTTTGCAGTTTCGAGGTGGGTTCTGGGTGGAGGAGAACACAAGGACGGGAGAAAAGTGTTGAATTGGGCCAAAGGCTAGCATTTTCTTGCCGACAAAGGTCAGATAGATGTCTCTTGAGAAGCCCACAAGCACAGCATGGCCTGCCCACATCATTTTCTCCCACACATTAGGTATTCAGAGATATAGTGCCTCTGGAATTGGAGGCTTCACTCAACAGCAATGTCTAATGCCACTGACAACACTTTGCAGATGCTCAGGAATTATAATCTTTATTATAATTTTCCACCACCCATTTTCCATCATGGGTGACTGCAGGGGAAAGCGCAAGAGGAGGCACATGCCCCCTCTGAAATTCTAAATGCTGTTGTCTTTATTCCATTTTGTACATTGCCTTGAGATATGTATGTGGAAGGTGACTGATAATCATCATCTTAAATTCAGTTTCCACATTTCCAAAGCAACTTGCCATTAAAAAAAAAAAAACCCTCATGAAAATTTGTCAGCATTTTAAGACAAATGTATCCTAATAAGCAAATTTTTGTATGCAATTTTGACGAGTGTACTCATTTTTGCAAGCAATTTCCCCTAATGCATTTTTGTACATGTTGAAGAACTGAATTGCAAAATTCGGAGAAGCGCAAAACTCCAATCAGAAATGTGTTTCTGTTCAAGCACTGGTTTGAGAAGCAGGTATTTTCCCATTCAAGTGCAAACAAATGTAAATTTAATAAACAAAGAACACCAAGAATTATGTTTGTGAACATGGCAATCTCGTTTGCCCATGGCGGAGCATGAGTGATAAAAATAAGTTTTGAAACTAGCCTTGACTTGAGGTATACACTTTTGCTTTCTCAAACTACTCTTTTCCTCCATTATCCCAGCCTCCTTTTCTCTCTCTCTTTCATTTGACGTTAAGGTCTGAAGCAGGGCAGAAAGAAAAGTGAAAGCGATAGTAATATGCTTTATGTTTGAACGGCAACCTGAGGTTTGACTGCATTTGTTATGGAAGATGGAAGCATAACAGAGAATGGGCCTTTTAATCATCTAGAAATTGACAAAACCTGTAAGTTCAGCCAGGATTGCAGTTGCCAGCTGTTCCTGTTTATTCCCCACCCCTGCCTGACCAGCTAAAGGATATTTGAAGACTGTTGGGGGGAAAGAAACAGTGCCTATATTGTGTGGTACTATGGTTGCAAAAGGACACAAGCATTATTCTGGAGCTGGAAACCATCTTGAAAAGCTCTGAACCAGAAGAAGCTCTAAAAAGGTAAGTTTTGTTTTTTGTTTTCTCCAGAAATGGGGAAGGGGGGAAGAGCAGGCAAGCTTGAAAGCCTGACACACACACACACACACCCCCCAACTTGCTATAGTTGGAGGCCTATCCTTGAGACAAAATAATTTTGTGATGCTTAGAAGCTAGCTCATTGTTTTCTGACGTTCAGGTGATTCTAACCACAATGTGATGGTCCTTTTCCTCTTTGGCTTCTTTCTTCCTGTAATCTAATTGCATGGTGTACAAGAGTATATAGCAGCCAGAAAGCCTTTGTCACTGTCTTTCTGTTTTACTTTGAGAGTATGTAAATCATTTTCTGACCTGATAGTTACTTTCTAGCCTTTGGAGCCAAGTTAGTTTTTTTTCAAAGTGTGTTCATTTGCTCTGTCTGAACACTGTGTGTGTGTGTGTGTGTGTGTGTGTGTGTATGCTTCAAGTGTAAGACAGAGGAGAGGCTCATCCATACTGTTATATAATGTGGAGAGTAAACTTCCTGTATTTCCATTAATTCCCAGTTGTCCATTTTACATTCTCCTCCAGCCTTCCAACACTATTTCCTCCATCAATCTTGATATTCTCTCTCCTTTTTGGAGTATCCTTAATATGAGAAAATCCAGATGGAGAGATTTTATCATCTGTAGCTTTTATATTTTATTTAACATTCAAGTATGCAGTGTTCTTGGCCTTTGTAAAGTGATTTGAGCAGCTTGTCCGATCAAGCACCTCAGGTATTTGCTTCTTTGTCTACGTGGCTTGCAACTGGAGCGAG